ATTCAAATCGCAATATGATGACGTCACAATGTCCGATCAGCCAATATGATCAATAATATCGTATCTACAACTCATGTACTTCTCAGAATATGTAATAAAAATTGGGGGTCACCTTTCATCCTAAGGAGTTATATTTGATTATAAATAGGCATAATTATAAGCATATGTAATTTTTGACGCACGCGTATGCGCACGTTAAGACGCGCAAACAAAAAAGTAAGATACCTAACATTCAACCTTGACCTGAAGTATATAAGCCCATTTAATATTATTCAGAAATAACAAATGGTTAAGATGATATGACGTCATCAACGTTTTGAGAAAAGAAATATAAATTGTTTCTTGTTTTTTAATTCAGATTGCAATATGATGACGTCACAATGTCCGATCAGCTATTATGATATATAAAATCATATCTACAGCTCAAGTGCTTTCAGAATATGTAATAAAAATTAGGGGTCACCTTTCATCCTAAGGAGCTATAACTGATTAAAAAAAAGACATGATATAAAGCATATTTTAATTTTGACGCACGCTAATGCTCGCGTTATTACGCGTGCACAAAAATATAATGTACATAACATTTAACCATGACCTGAAGTTTATGCCCACTAAATATGATTCAGAAATCACGAATGATTAAGGTGATTATGGGGTCATCAACGGTTTGACAAAACAAAGATGAGAGGGGTAAGCAAAACCCTATATTTTGACCATGATGACGTCATCAAAATGTAAAAAAGTGTCACATATAGGAAAGAGAATTGCCTCAGCTGTAACATACTCAAAGTTAGAAGACAATTGACCAAGAATAAGCGAAATACGCTCAAATGCGCATTTTTTTTTAATGACGTCATCGATAATACTCAGTTTGTTGAATTCAGATGGCAATATGATGACGTCATAATATCCGATCAGCCATTATGACCTATAAAAGCAAATGTACAACTCATGTGCTTTCAGAATATGTAATAAAAATTGGGTGTCACCTTTCATCCTGAGGAACTATAACTGATTAAATATATGTACAATTTTCACTCATTTTGACTGAAAATAGACAAAAACGCGCAAATACACACGTATCTTAGATGTGCGCGTACTGCACTATTATTAGGCGTAAAATTACTGAAAAAGAATGCAAATATGTCATTACAGTGTAAGAAACTCAAAATATGTCAAAAATTGTAATTTGAATCATCTGCACGAGCTGCGCGCACGAAAATGCGTGCACGACCTGAAAATTTGTGAAAAAGTTGAAATGCTCAGAATCACCTGAAACGTACACAAATTTAGTCAAAACGTGATTTTGAGCAAATTTAATTTTTAGCGCACGCGTACGTGCGCGTAATGAACTGCAAATCGGACAGTAGTGTGCATATGGATAGTACATGACATGAAGTATACCTGTGTGAAGTTTCAACAAAAGAGGCCTAACGATGGTGAAGTTATGATCAATCAAAAAATTTGCTCCGTAAAACGCAAAATTGCGCATAGATGACGTCACGCGTGACTGATCACGCTGAAAACCTTATTGTATCGATTCCACCCCAAGACTAATAATTGTTGAACATGTTGATCGGTTGAAGCAATCTTGAGATATCATGGTCACAAATTTGGGGAGAAAGAAAGAAGAAAAAGAAAGAAATAAAGATTCTGACAATAACAAGAGGTGATCCGCTAATGTTAGCGGATCACCAATAATATATAGAAAGATAGCAGAAACAGTGAAGATTCAAAAGACATGTTGTCAATGGATAGAGAACACCGTAATTTTATACCATATTTACCAACATTAGATATATATATTAAAGAACAAAGTATGTTTAACAAAGTATATCCCACATTCATAATAAAAACAAAAAAAAATTAAAAGGATACAGCTCCATCACCATGACAACATTTTCTTTGGTTTCATAAGCATCATATAACTTGATTAGTTTCTGGTGGTGTAGACATGACATTATCTCAATCTCTCTATATATATCCTCTTTTTTTCCATTCTTAAGCTCAATAAACTTAGCGGCAAAACTTTTTCCACCAGTAAATGAAACACATCTTTTGGTAATCCCAAATGCTCCCCTAAAATAAAAAAGAAAAAGAATTTATGTTTTTATATTTTTCCTATGATAAATTATTTAAAACATAAAAATAATTTGATGGATGCAGATTCATCTGTCCCGGTTCAAAAAGTAAGTTTCTTTGTTTTCTGTTATATCCTAATATACCAATTTAATTTTACTTGTGGAAATTCTCTGTTTTACTATTTTTTTCATGCTACTGTATTTTGGTTTATTACCTATTTATCAACTTCGAGCTGGCCTAGTCACATACTTTACTGAAGACGATTGAAGCAACTCAATCGAAACGTCGAGACTTTCTCATCTACAACAGTTCTTTTCAGAACTACGTACGTGGTGTACCGCATGCTTAAACTTCTATGCAAACCTTCAAATAACACATACTTTACATCGTAGATTGTAAACATTCAGTATACAATGCAATTTTTATGTTCATTGTTGCATAATTAGAACAGTACATTTCAACTGGTTCAATTGGTATTTTCAATGGGTCAAATGGCTTTCAATTGGTTTAACTGGTATCAATCAACGGGTCCAATTGGTATGTTCAATGGGTGCATTGGTTTCAACTGGTCCAATTGGTTACGGAATGGGGCTCCAATTTTCAGCTGGTCTTTGGTACGACATCAAAGGGTTCAATTGGCCTCAACTGATCCAGCTACTGGCTAAAATGCTTGGGCTTGGACCCCGGCCGGTGATGCACGGGGGACAGAGGGATGATACTGTAGTATGGCATAATAAAATGGTTAACAAATTTGCTTTAATTAATATTTACTTTTAATTATAGGCCTATTAATAGCCTACTATTTATTATCATTAGGCCTCATTAATTAATTATTTATTCATATATTTAATTATTTGTATTGTCATTGGTATCATCCTCCATGTGGTAGTGATGGCATTCCAGGTTTCCGACCCCCCCACACAAGCGGAGTGAATGACATCATTATATGCCCTGCCGTCATTGGCCACTCCTTTAACCTTACGAAACTGACCAATGGAAACCTAGGATCCACATTCAAATTCATTGTGTGTACTGTACAGGTACCAGTGGAGTCTACCAATGTTTGACAGATATCTGTGATTTTAAGGTACAAAATACAACAATAATAGCTGGTTGCTCACTGATAACTACAAAGCAAGGATAATTCATTGATGCAAGACTTAATATTCAACACAACTTGATTGATTGAATGTTTCATACAGCCTCTAGCTGACAAAGCCATAGCCTAGCTGGGCTAGGCTAGGCCTAGTAGTAGGCTAGCTAGGACGGTGCAGCAGCTGATGATGCACTTACAGTAGATCAATGTCACCTGAGCAGCTGCCGTGAAAAGCAGAATCCAAGCAAGGCCGAGCAGGCTTGCTTAGATTTTTCGCCAAGCGAAGAATTTAAGCAAGGCCTAGAGGCATGCCAAGAGTTTGTTGGAATCAGTCCTTGTTTGATAATGGTTATACATACCTGTAGGCCTAGCTAAATGAAACTCTTTACTAAATGGAACCATAAGCCTATTTATCGATAACAGTACTTTTTGATGTTCTAGTTTCCCAGAACTGTACATCGTTCTCGTTTCACAGCTCATCGCGGGTGATCTGCAATGCACTGGCACTTCATTGGGTGATGGTGACGTAATGCCATTTACCGTACCTTTAGCAAATTAGAAAATTTCTAAGTACAAAGTAGACATATGGTAACCGTATCTCTAGCCACGGCATAAATTGTTTTGCCTCATATTTTGTCCAATGTATTTTAAAGTTTTATTTATTTGAATTGTCTACTGCTTTGTTTGATATTGTGTTTCCCCAGTCTTTTTATTATTGAATTCGTTCGTATGTATGTTGTTGTTATTGTTACTAATGATAACAGTTGGCCAATTAGAATTGAAACCCAGTTGAAAAAGCTGTTGGACCTCATAACCTTTGGAATACCAGTTGAACCAGTTGAAATTGAAAACCAGTTGGAAACCCATAGTAGAAAACCCATTGAAAACCAGTTGGACACCCATAGTAGAAAACCCATTGAAAACCAGTTGAAAACCCATTAGAAAACCCATTGAAAACCAGTTGGAAACCTATTAGAAAACCCATTAGGAAACTCATTAAAAACCCATTGGAAACCCATTAGAAAACCCATTGAATACCCATTGGAAACCCATTGGAAACCTGCAACCCGTTGAACCAGTTGGGATTGAAAACCAGTTAAACCTGTTGAAACACCGTTGGAAAACCAGTTGGACCCATTAAAACCCGTTGGACCCGTTGAGAGGGTGCGAAAACATGTGTTGGATTTTTCCAATGGGTTTTCAACTGGGTTTTTTCAACAGGTCTCAATGGGAATTTTTACCTGGGATATGTTTTAACAATTGGGTGACAGTTTGTCATTGGATGGCATAAGACAATTATTATATACTGTAATTCTCTGATGCTTGTTTATTCTAGATATTAATTTAAATTGGCTGATATTTTACAATATTTAGAATATAGGTGTAATTTGTTTTCTGTGCTTGTTATTTAGACTCTAGATAGGCTCTCACAAGAGTGCTATGTTTTTTTGGACTCGATATGGCACCTACATATCAGTAACACATATGACTTGATTTATTCCCTTCAACTCCTTGTTCAGCACAGCATAGGTCCTTTGAAATAGCATGTCATTGCACTGTGTTTTCCTTGGCCCGTGCTCCACAGTTCTCCTCTGGCTATTTCTTGGGCGATGTATGATGGTTTAGTAAATTTGGACATCGTACAAAACATTGTTTATGTAGTTTAGACAATACAAATATATATATTTTGAGTAGGCTTGAAACATGTTGAAGTAAAATATAAACCAGCTTATAAGCTTAGTTTGTATTACAGCTAATATAGACCTGTTTTATTTGATTTATGTGTTAACAAGTTATAGTGGGTAAAAGTTTGGGGATCAACATATTATATGGCTGAAATGGCTGCATATAGTTGCACTAAATTGGAATAATTTACAATAGGTCTATAACAGCAAAACTGAATAAGTTATTTTGTTCTGTGTCTAATTGTTGAGGTCATCTTACCTGCCTAGTTCTTCAAAAAATTCATATTTATCCTCAATTTTAGTTCTCTTGATTATAACTTCATTTGCCTCTAAATAAAAGAAAAAAAAAGTATTATCTTCATTAATGTTCTTGTTTAATTTAAGCATTATAGAGATCATTTTACCTCCATTGAAACTTTCTTAACACTGTGTGGACAGTGGTGGACTTAGGCTCTAGCCACCCCCTCCATTTATTGTTAACACTCCATTTTCTCACATGTAAAAATTCAGACAGAATAATTCTTGACAATAACAATGAATGGAAAGGAGTGTGGCACCCCACAGATAGACAGTGAAATATGGGACTTCGTTGAAGAAAACTATAGTGGGAATTATTCATAATATTATTACATTTATTATACTATTGTACATAATTAATTATACACATTCAGATTGTCTACTAAAGTTAATAATTACATTTTAAAAATATGGTTTTAAAGTCCTGTTTTATATCATCAGTGTACATTCAATTTTTAGTTACTCCATGTAGGTTCAAACTATTGATGTTGCATTTATATGAAGAATAAAGTTTCAACATGTATTTCATTTTTAGTTTTCACAATAAATACAGTCTGTATAGTATTAAGAATTTGCTGATATAATTTATGTGAAGGTGGATGTGTCCTTTTCTGTTTGATACATTCATGTTATCAATCTTAACTTAAATTATAAAGTTGAGATGTGCTTAGAAATTGTGAATTGTATTTAACGCCTCCTTCCTTTGGTAAATCACAGCACTACTCATGTCCCTACGAATGACCATAGCAATGTTTCAGTAAACAACAAATTGTAGAACGAGTTGTAGAATACTGTAGCATGAGTGTTCGTTTTATTCATGCAGTAAGTTGTGATCATGGTCTATGTAATGCAATACATGGATGAAAGTTTATTAAGCCAGAATGCTCTATAAGAGTGTCTAAACACTTAATTAAAAAAAAAATGTTTATTTTGGTGGAGGAGGGGTGTGCTGCAGCCTGCTATGGACCATTGTTATGCGATTATTGAACATTTATAATAATAATAACGATCATTTACATAGCACCTTTGTTACTCAATTATTACCCATTTCTATCTGCTGCATTACTCAACTATTTTATTCAGAATATAATAGTTCCTTCCATTCGATATTTTCCAACAGTGCCCCAACATTCTACTATAATTGCTTAATATTGAAATACAAATTGTAACCAAATTGCCTTTTTCTTATTTTATTTTTAATTTTTAATTTTTTGTGTAATCCCTCTCAGTAACATATAGTCAATGTTTTGTTATTGTACATTTTTGAGAATATTATACCAAGATGCTTTTTTCTCATAATTTGCATATATTTAGCGGGTTTTTTTTACATTATAAAAATGTATAAATGTGTGTAAATTATATGAAAGCTTCAGCAGGGGATTGCTATCCATTTTATTTTATTTCTTATCATATTTAACTAAGCTTTACTCAACATAAATGAATGGAACTGAATTTTACAAACCTTTTATTTTTACCACAGCTGAACTAGATATTTGGCCAGCCATATTCCTGGCATGTATGCTGTATTTTCCATTATCATCTTGTTCACAGTTGTAAATCACAAGTGAATACACATAATCTTTAGTTACATGTAGTTTAAATCGATCAGATGCAGTAATTAAATTGCCATCCTTGTACCAGGTAACTGTTGGTTCTGGAATACCATCTAGTTTACAGTCCAGTTGTATCATCCGACCCTCTAGGACATCCAGATTTTCCAGTGATTGGTTAATTTTTGGTGATTCTTTAAATGTATTGACAGTTGTGAATTTTAGATGTTAAATTATATAATGAAGGAATTAGTTCATTTCATTTCATTTTATTTCGATCACAAATAGCAGTAAAATTAACACTTTTAGTATATGTTTCTTGATTTGACAAGCATGTTTTTGAATTTTTCATATTGTTTAAAATAAGACTAATTGGACCCCAATTTGGGAGAATGTACTTCCAGAACTTTTTTAACAATATTACAGTAATTTGTTGTATGTGGTGATACTCATCACTCCGGATAAAAACATCATAAATTTGTAGGAGATGAGCCTGGGAGATTGCTTGCTAACCAGATTTTCGGGAGGCTCCTGTGATTCATCGGAGACTTGGGCACACTGTGATTGGAAGCAGAAAGCTGCCGCTTCCATGAGTAGAGTGGTACAGACCTTTTTCAGTGTTTACATTGGCCTGGCTGAAATGCTGGCGGTAGGCCTACACTATCCTGGTAGGCAAAAACATTTGGCGAGTATATCAGAATACACTAAAAATCAGTCATATGCCATAATATGTAAATTTCATCCATGTAGTTTTCATACATAACAAAAAGAAATATATAACCAATAATACACTGATTTCCGGTGCATTTTGATAAACCCGCCAAATTTTTTGGCCTACCAGGTTGCCCCTAGCAAAATGCCCCTAGCATTTCAGCTAGGCCCATCAATGCAAACACTGAAAGGGGTCTATATACCTTATCTTCCCAGGGGTGGATTTAGTGGAGGGAAGCAGAAGTTATTGATCCCCCAAAATGCCTTGGAGGTTATCCGGGTGTGTAGGGTAGTGTTGTCGCTCGATCGCCCTCTCTACCCTTCGGACATCTCTGGAACCCCCTTCCCCCAACGTCCTACATGTAAAAGTAGGAATGGTACCTGCAATATCTAAGTAGACCATAATCTTCTTAACCCCATCTGCATTAACAGCTAGGCATTCATACTCCCCAATATCTTCATAGTCAACATCATCAATATCTAGACAACATGTTCCATCTGTCTTAGTGTATGTCTGAAATCTTCTGCTGTTTGAGATGACTTCGTGATCACGTAGCCATGTGATTATAGGTACAGGATTGTTCAAAACTTTACACACAAGATTAGCTCTCTCCCCTTGCAAAACATAAACATCTTCCGGATTACTCTCAAAAACTGGTGTGTCATCTGAATTTAAGAAATCAAATTCACATAATAATAGGTAACTTATTTCTTGATTCATATTCTTCTATATAATACAAAATACATGCGCGGATCCAGCACCTGACCTTCGCAAATAGTGCGAAGGTCAGGGTGAAAAATAAAAATAATATGTTGACCATTTTTCCAACAATCATACTTACTTTCCTTGACACTTATTTTGAACATTACCATTAGGACATTGTTTAAATCCACACTAGCCTATATCTTAAACCTTTACTCTGATTGTTCTGTAGGCATTATCAGAGAGGTATATTCTCATTACATTATGGTCTTCCAATTCTATAGTGCATGATCCAGTGCATGGCAAACGTTACGTAACCGCTACTAATTGGAGTCACTCAGCTCAGTCATACATGTGTCTATGTTCAAATTCAAGACTCAAAAATAGTTTATTATCCCAGGGAGTTGTTATAGTGACATAACAACTCCCTGATTATCCAAAAGGAAATTCATTTGGCCATGGCATAAAAACATTGTGATTGTTATGATTATGATTGTTATTATTATTATTATTATCAAGGGTGACTATGAGACAAGGCCTGCCTTCTAATTGTGATCCTAACAATGGCTTTTTCCTTTTTCTCTTGATACAACTGTTTTCATGTCATTGTTGAATAAAGTTATATCATATTATATATATATATATATATATATATAAATATATGCTTCAAAGTAGTAGACAATGAGATGTCAACGACTTGCAGGGAAAATCCTGGATCTGCACCAGAGCAGTACAGTAATTGAAGGGTTTTGAGTCAGATTAAGAGAAACTATCATCTAGAAACCAACTGAAAGATGGTTATACACTCTATCGGCACAAAAACATCAAAAATATAGTAGCATTAATAATATTAATGATACTTTTACTGATAATGACCTTCTTAGCAGTGGTAGGGTCTTAGGGGCCAAGGTCGTGTTTAAGAGAGCTCCCCACCTTCATGAAAGGGTTTAAATTTTCCATTATTACAATATGAACTGCAGTTATACCTCAGTACAGTATATTTAAAATGTAGAAACAATGGAGGCAGAAGTAGGATACAGCATACTTTATAATGCTGTCCCAACAAATTTTGTTGACTGCTATGTACAGTATCTACAATGAACTTGGATACTCTCGAGAGGTCTTTGTTGTCATGGTCCCCTGTCAGAGATGGTCCCCTGTCAGAGACCGCCCCTTGTTCGGCAAATCTTGGTGCCAACATTTATTTAGAGCCAGGAATAGAACAAACCACTGTGCTGAGTGCTCCCAAAATAAAAATAATAATTTCTAAAAGCTAACTTACAGAATTGTTTAGTTTGAATAGCTTCCTTGTTCTCTGTATCCATATTTGAGGAAGTTTCTGAAGTAAATGAAAAACATAACTCACAATCTACTAGAAATGTTTAATATGTAAAATGAAACCAATTATCATTATCAAACTACCTAACACTGCAATTGTTGCAATAGTTTCACATTATTTGCTTGATTTCATTCACAAAATCATCTCAACTAGCAACACAAAGGGCTTTTGACTAGTCTTTGATTATAATGCTATGTCATACTGTATTCCTTGTATATTATTTTAAGGTACTTCAAATCCATAAACAAGTGTTTGTATAATTTGTTACATCAACAAAGTTTGTTAAGGACATCAGACTCACTGAAAGTGTATTTACTCATTCGTAATAATCATAATTATAAATAATAGGTACAAAACTTATGGGATGAAATAGTATAATAAAACAATAATAATAATAATAATAATAATAATGACAATTAATATTAATATAGTAAAAATAATTTTAGTAGTAATGAGAATAGTAATAACAATAATTATTATTATATAAAGAATTTAATTTACCAAGATTCAGTATTATATTAATGGTGCTGTGCATGTTAGTGGTGGAAAATAACAATACACTTTTTTATATAAGAACCAGTAAAATTTTGCTCAGACTCAGTGTTCTTAGTTTTTTGCTGATTTCAGGCTCAAAATGTTCTTATTTTCTTATTGTTACACACTTTTTAAACATAACAAAATTATTATATACAGCATTAATTGTAGAGGGCATTACAAATTCCATAGAGAAACATAGTCACATCTACTGCAAATATGGTACAGATAAGATATGCTGTTTTTTTTAAAATTTTTTATAAATTAAAACCTCATTTGACATTTTACCTCAGCCTCAATTTGTTCTTATTTGTTTTTAATTTTTAAGCGCTTTCAGCCTTCGTATTCTTATAAAATGTGTTTATAGCCACAACAATAACAAAGAAAAATAAAAACAATAGCAACAACGACAATAACCGAACGACAATAACAACAACAGTAACAACAATAACAGCAATAAAATTAACATTATTAATGATGATGAATGAGAAAAGCATGTGTTGGTCATGAGGAAATCATACAAAACCAGATTTCCCAAATTATTTAACAGTTTTCCAAAACCACTTTTAAAGCAGGGTTTCTGGCAGTATTCTATTTATTTTCTATTAAATATGGAAGGACACTCCCAATAATTAATAATTGTATAGTACTATAGATTTTCTGGTGTCAGTGATATATTCATCCTTCAGTTAATCTACAACATATATAATAAAACTTTAAGACCCTCTATTGGATTTTGTTGTAAAATGCAGGGTATTCAAAGTATACAATTCATAAGTTAGATTATTTACTTTGCTTCACTAAAACATAATAGGTCATGTTTACCTTGTTTGGTGACTGTTAATGAACAGATAGTCTGCACTTTGCCTGCAACATTTTCAGCTTTACAGATATAGTCTCCAGAATGAAGGATGCTAGCCTGTGCAATTATCATCAAGCAGTTTCCATCATTACTTTCATCAAGAATGTACTCTGCATTACTTGTGATTGTATTCCCGTTATACAGCCACATCACATCAGGTTTTGGATTGCCTGTAAACTTGCAATTAAACATCACAGGTTCTGTCTCAGAGACCTCAATACAAGCAGGTAGTTTAGATATAAACAAAGGCGCTTGTGCTGTCAAGTTGTTATTAAAATAAAAGTTATTATTCGTTATTATACCAAATGATGCACTATTACGTCTTTTCGTATTTGTTCCATGGTCTGGGACATCTGTATTGGTGATAGTCTCTGCATTTTCCCCATTTATATGGGTTTGGGAATGAGCATCTGGGCCTGGGGTTCCTTGGAAACTTTTATAGGATGAATCATCTTTATGATGTGTCACTAGCAAGCAATCTTTACATGTCTCAGGTAAAACAGATGATTTGTGATTAGCTTGTCGGTCAACGACATCTTGTGTAGGCCAAATGCTCGATTTTGTTGTATGTTTTTCTGTGACTTGATTCCTTTTAAAGCAACTATCCTCTGCAAAATATAATGAAATTTGTGTAGAGATTTGATATATTCTTAAAAAAGTGGTCCAGGGGCGAAGCCCAGAAAAATATGACAATTTAGGTGTTTCAAAAGGCTTATTTCATCGATTTTAGAGGCACTAGCTAAGTATGTAGAAAATACATATAATTTTTTTTCTCCCTGTATTTTCTTTATCGTGCATGTGAGGTGTGGTGAAGGAGAACGCTACGACAGGGGATAGGGCCTACTAAATACTAGCTGCAGCCAATGCTTCTAATAAAGGATTAAAAGAGTTCATTCAGAGTAACCGAGGCGCTGTTAAGAGCTGTAGCCTGTCTCAATTTTTGTTTCAGTTTTTTATCGTCTCGCATCATTATCTAACCATTGTATACGATTATTTCATGTCAATGCTGTTGAGTAGTGTGTATATATTTATGTGATTTTTCCAGTTTGTTATGATTTTGAGACATTTTGGTGTGTTTTTTTGTACAACTACGGCTAGCCTACGTCAAAACCTAAACTCCACGCGGCCAACAATGTGTAACGGGAAACCCTCAGGTGAAACAACGTTTGCACCTGGCTGGACGTCTTGTGTTTACAAGCCTAGCATTTCGACATGGCATTATAGGGGAAGACGTGGTATACGAAAAATAATTAGAAAAATACCGGTTTTAAGCTGCTACAAGCACAGGTCTAATGAGCGTAATAATGCTATAGGTGATTACCTTGAAGCCAATAAATGTTCGAGCCGCAATTATTGTAATTTAATAGACGTGAAAATAGATGAAAATAACGATGAAATCGAGGTAAATAGTAACGATGAGATGATGACTGGGAGGCCTAGCGAATTGAAACCTAGGAAGCACCAACCGTTCTTGCCGAAATTAGTTGTAACTAACACATGTTCTATCCTGAATAAACAAGATGAATTTAATATTATGATGAATGAAATTGGACCCGACATTTGTTGTGTCACGGAATCATGGATAACAACGGATACTGCCCCTGAACTTTATGACGTGCATGGTCTGTCTCTTATACACATCTAGATGTGTATAAGAGACAGGTTTGGCACAGTGGTTGTGGTTCTGCTTCTCAACCTGCAACATTATGAAGCTGATTATGTGTTGTGTATATGTTAGATAATAATGTGAGTGCTTAGTTAGAGGCCCTGTTGGCAAGAAGCACTATTTAAATATCTCATATTATAGGCCATGGGCTGGAGGGGGGTCTCGTGCACCCCTCACAGTTAAACTTCCTTGGTATCATTTTGTTCCTACAGGCATATAAAACGCAAAAACTGATGTTAACAAGAAAAATATAGGGATGCATTGTATGTACTCGCGTCATTTGTAATGGTCGTTAGTGTTTTATGGTCAATACTTTTTTTGGGGGGAGGGGTAACATCTGTCTCTTATACACATCTAGATGTGTATAAGAGACAGGCAGTATCCTGTGTGGAACTGAATGTGTAAAAAGTACCCTGAACTGTTCTGTTGCAAGAAATAATTAGCATGGAACCAACGACCAAGGCAGCGACTCAGTATTGTGTCCGTTAAAAGTTAATTGCGAATTGTGCGTGCCATAGGAAAAAGTTGCAATTTCTAGTAATGTATATGATTTATTGATTGTGTTTTGTAAGATATTTTAACCATTTAGACTGTCTATTAAAACATGCAACATCAACAATGCTAGCTGAAAAATCAAAAGTAAAATTGTTCATATAAAATACAAAATCATATAAGTTCACTTCGAACAATTCACAGATTTAAAGGTTTTCACGATGCACTGTTAATTTTACTTCTGTTAACACGTACATTATTTAAAACTGAAAACTATTCCACATAGGCCTATATTACTGCTATTTTAACGAACGCCGTTTGTGTGAACACTTTGGAATTTCCGTGGATTAGCTTACGCCTGGCGTAAGCCACGCCAATCTTACGGTGTGTGTGTGAACATAGCCTAAAACATGCAGGAGACCTGATGATGCAGCAAGTGACAAAGGCAGAGAGAATTAAGGTGGGACACATGCAGATTTCCCACAGTAGGGCACACTCCCAAGTTTAATTATATACCTTGTGGCTATGTATAATCATTTACATCTATCTTCTCTATTTACTATATGTTGACATTCTTCGTCTATACATTTATTTCAAATTCTTTCAAAGCGCGCCTATAAATACAAAGGAGCAGTGGTATGACGTCATTAATTATTTACTGTGAATAAAGTTACTAACTTACTAGTCATTTTTTTTTTTCTCATAGGACACAGCTTGCATATGGTACTGTATTATACATATATTGAGGAAAATTAAATCGGAATTCTATTAAATGTTAGCAAATTCATTGTAATTTTTGTTGTTTGATGTTTTGTATGAATGGAGCTGCAGCTTTTGCTTGGGCTTTTTGGGGCAAAATAATTTTGTATCTATTTGCCTATTAAATGTTTTAATTTTAATATTTATTTTGAGTTATTGAAAACTGTTTGAAGGAATTTTCTTTTAGTCCACCACTTTTTAATTAGATATACTATTAGGTCCTACTAATGATTGATACCATGATATTGGGCAAAACTGTATAGTATGTTTGTGAATATTATTATTCATCTAGGTAGGTTAGTAAGTACAGTATGTCCAGTTGAAAAGATTTATTACTTTTTAGTATATGTACAGTATATTGGTTTTTTAAAAAAAAAAATTGTAATGCAGTAAGAATAAGTGAATTATTTCATATGTAAGCACATTAATTTAGAATACACCAGTTTATCAACATTGCAGAAATGCTTTTAAAGATCAACAACATTTCATTTAAATCATCTATGGAAGATTAAATATCTAGAATTCACAGAAATAAATCATGTCAATAATTATTATGTCTTATGAAGAAAAATATCTGTGTTAAAGGGCACCAGTTGTGATACTCTCATCAGGTTTTCCCGACCATGAAGTATTCACTTGCCATAGCACTATAGTTTTTCCACATGTAATATTATATCATTATACAGTATCAATTTTTATTTGATGCACATTTTTGTGTTGTGTTACTGTCCAATTCCACAATTTGGCAGCACAATCTGTCAGTTTCTTTCCTTTTAGTTTGTGTGTAAGTCTTAATTATTCAAAAACAGTCTCTGTTAAATCATGGAGGTATAAAAATAGAATAATATTTTATACCTCCATGGTTAAATCATGATTGCTCCTGTGGTTGTGCGGTAAAAATGGCCCCAGTAAAAATGGTCCTGGTAAAAATGGCACTGGTAAAAATGGCCCCAAATGACAGATAGGTAAAAATGGCCCCAATGAAAGAATTCAGTAATAAAAATGATTTTTTTTTTTAAATCTTCAAAGTTTTAAATACTGTAAAATAGCAAGAATTGAATCAATAATTAAAAAAAAAAATGGCCCCAATTATAAAATTCAATAAAAAAGATTTAATGCTGTAAAATACCCTGTAGCAAATAAATCAAAATAAACCATATACATTATTTGAAAACTAGAATTACTTTTTTTTTTAACAATCTATTGGTAATGTCAAATAAGTTGCCATTTATATTTTGCAGGAATAATTAAATTGAAATGAATAAAGTAGTCCATAGATTAAAAAAACAAGTATATAAATAACCTGTTGTCATCACAATTATACTGTACAACTAGTTGCCACTGTATTCCGTTCAATATTTCAATTTGTTTCATAGTTTATGTATTAATAATGTATTGTTTGGTACAATATATGTAGATATATACTATATATTTTTATGTAAATATGGCAATTATTCTATGAATTAAAATGGCGTGTAATTGTGAGGGTTAGAAAACACACTGTAGAAAACCAAAACATATAATTATGATTGATTTACTTAGTATATCAATAAGAAAATTAAATACATTCATAAGAACCTGTTTTTTGGTCTTGATTTTGTTTTTGTGAAAATACCACAAATCTCCAAAAACACACCGTGAACCCCATCTAAACCATTTAATTATGATTTTAGAACTCTCTTTTTATCTAAAAATAATATTAATAATTTGATGTTCATAACAACCTATTTTTGCAGGGCTTAGACATACCCAGTGGAAGTTAAAAATTTCTTGAAAATTGTGATTTCACTTTTGTGAAATTGGCCACAACTAAATTATTTTAGTATTAAAAAATGCATGATTTTTGTTGATTTATTGATTTTATTTTTGATATTTTTTAACATTTAAATTTAAAAAATTTCGAAAATGTTATTTTTTAATTTTTTTATCTATGAATATGTAATTCCTACAAAAAGTAGAATATAAATGGAAAATTTATTTGATGTTAGATTCTTTTTAAAAACTCAATTATTTCAGTTAAAAAAATGCATAATGATTTAAAAAAAATCAGTTTTGATACAGAATTTTATTATTGGGGCCATTTTTACCTACCTGTCATTTGGGGCCATTTTTACCGGGGCAATTTTTTACTACATTTACTTAGTATGTGAAAATATTTTCAAAAATATATTTAATTTAGATTATAAGATATTACTTCTTTCTTATTGAAGGTATGGTAAGTTTATAATACTCATGGTTATTTTTTAGAAGATTTTCAATACACAAACACTATTCATGTACCATTCATTTTCCAATTATTATTGTGAACTTCTGTTTCGCCTCTCATGGCTTAGCTTCTTGTCTAGCTACTTTCATTTTAAAAAGGATAGTGCATGATTCAGGAATCAGCCAATATTGGTAACCAAAAGTAGGCCTTATTTGTATGGCAAATGTTAAATACAGTAATGTACATCTATTATCCCTATTCTATCTGATCAGGCAATAGTTATTGTTTCGAAAATATTCTAGTAAAATTAAGAAATACTAGGCTTACTCCCACCAATAAAGATTGCTCCCATATAACATTTTCTTATTCAAGTACTTAGAGGGATCCTTTCCCCCTCTCCCTCCCAAAGGAACCTTGGTTTCCCCACTCTTAAGTTTTATGCAGTCCACTCCCTTAAAAGGCTAGATCTCTCCCTGCTATGTACTACAGTCATATTTTTTAATGTAGTTAATTTAGCTCATGAAAATCTAGATATTAATCAACCACCCATGAAATCAACTAAAGCATTGAAATTGATCTCCTTACAGTATTTCCAGATGTGCTACCAATACTAGATTTAATGGTTTTATAAGATGGTAAGTCTCATGTTATGATATACTGTATTGAAATTCTGAAATTAAGCAACCCTCTTGATGCATCAGTTTTGGTTTCATAGCCACATGTCTAGCAGCATGCCCCTGATGAATTAACCTTTACATGGCAGTAATAATTTTATCTCTACTGAAAACTACACTTTAAAATCTATGGCAAATTGCATGATTTCATTTTCAGGCCTGTGGCCCACATTTTTCTAAACCTATTTCACTATTGTTCCCAATTATCACAAAATCCTATGCATGGCATTTTATTTGCCAGCTCTTTTAGCTGTTGGGATTTTTTTTTCTCCCACAAACATACATTTGTTGATTTTTTCTAACAGATATATTGATTATTTTTTAACATAATCATTGAAAGAAAAAAAAAAACCATAGGTATTAGGTCATATAGAGAGGCGGTTGGCGCATCGGTTGTGGTTTGGACTCCCAACCTTGAGGTCGGGGTTTCAAAACTCTTACTGTACAAATCGTTTGTGTCCTTGGGCAAGGCACTTTATCTACGGTTGCCTCTATCGACCCAGAAGTACAAGTGGGTACCTGGTAGGTTTGAACACAACTGCGCTGATTACTACCTGCAATATTATGAAGTTCTCCCCAGGAAGCTGAGTTGTGTTACATACGTGTTTGATCCAATGACTGGGGTAGTATGTAAAAGCACTTAGAGGCTTTATGCGTGAAGCGATATGACCGACATATTATTATAAAACGAATACGTCACTTACATCTTTAGAGTAATTAAAAGAAAAATTAATAAATGTGTTGGAAATTTAGGCCTATCCTAATGCTCGCAAAAATCGCTCCACCCTCTTCCCCCTTTGAAATGCTTCATTGGGCAGAGAAAAGCAAGGGTGATATCCCAAAACAGCCATATTTTATTGATTTTAATAACAATTGTATTTTTTAATTTGAAGTTATCTGATGACAATTTTGTCATTTCAATTTGTATTTACATTTTTATATATAATATGTATGCTTGATATGGACCATGAGTCTAAGATAAAGTTGAAAGAGATTCAGATTATGATTTATTGCTCAATACATAAAATTAAATAGTACAACCAGGCTTCCCAAAATATGGGTCACGACCCAAAAGTGGGTTCTAAAACTCTTGCGTTTTGTCATGAGATGAATACAAAACACTTAAAAAAACAGATTTTCAATTCATATGTGCTAATTTACACAGTTGATGTAAAGTCTTTAACAGATCTGACGACCTGAAAACAGTATTTCATGGGAACCCTCAATAGAACAATATTTTATTATATGCCTGGGAATGAAATCATGCAATTTGCCATAATGAACATTATGTAATTGTGTAAATCATGTATAGACATAAACTAAAACAGAAACACTGTTCTATGAGAATAGCATTTTTCCCCAAACATTTCAAATGGGAATGCAAATACAATAATACAGCTAAGAAGCCGCTTTCCCCATGTATTTTGGTTGTTTGATATAATGGAACCACAGGGGTAAAATTAAGTTTATCAAATACCAGTATATATCGCACTAAATGAACACCTAAGAAAAGCAAAAGAGGAAACAGATGACGACCAAAGCACACATGGCTGAGACAAATAAATACTGATCTGAAACCCATAGATAAAACTTTAAGCACACTCACACATGATGGTTATAAAAGGGCAAACTGGCGACACACTGTTGTAAGAAGAAATATATTATTTAAAAAATGATGTAATACCAATGTCAAGTAGCCATTTTTAAAAATCAAATTTAGGAGTGCAATTTTAATTATTAAATGGGTCGCAGCTATTTTGGGGAATCACAACTTGGGTCCCAGAGAAAAAAGTTTGGGAAGCAGGGGGAATACAGTTCATAAAGTTTGTTTTCCTGAGTTGCAACACAAGCATGGTATTCATTAAAATACATAAAGTTCCATAAAAGTATTTAGTATAAAAACAATATAACAGAAATTAATATATATAAAATATAATGTGAAAATGATTAATATAGAATATACATTTCAGATATTTACATATACAAACACAATTAAACTACACTGCCCTGAAAAACTTACCTTAATAATGAATTTACTGTTATGAAGATAAATAAAGAGAGGAATGATAAATTTGGTTGTTTGAATTGTGAGTTGTCAAATATTTCCTGATTTGTTTATTTTAGTTTATTATGAAGAGGATGGTTGTTATTTCGAATTATTTCTCCTGTAGTTATTTTAATATTGCTTTTTCAATAATCTCCATTATTGATTTCACATTCTACCAAAGAGATGTGCTGCATTCAGGAACGTAATGCGGAAGCTTTGTAATATATTTTAAGAGGGCCTCAAGGATCTTGGTATTCAGTTAAATTAATAGTCACAAACCCACTTTAGGATTCCAAAATGATGTTCAAAGGTAGCAGAACATCCTCGGGAAATGTCACAATGTTTGATTATTACTACTAATAATAATACAACAAATGTATAATAAATAGATCACTGCTTCCAAACTTTTTTAAGGGACCCACCCTGTCAGAAAGAAGTTCCTACTGACTATAAAACATAAGTATTTATAATCACCAGTATGCCTATAGTTAGGTGAACCAGGGCATAACAACTCCATGGGTGAACAAACTCTTTTTCTTTAACCATATCTCCTCAAATGGTACTTTTTGCAGAATCCAAATGTAGGCCTACTTTAATTTTCTTGAAAGGTGTTAAAGTTAATATACAACAAATAATCTAGTAAAAGAACTCAACTTACCTTTTCTTAATTGAAATAAATTATCTGGTTATATCCTGATAAATACTTGAGTAGTGTATCCCGTAATATGACTAGGAAGTCTCATTACCATGTATAATTATAGCAAATTGCAGGTAGCTTAGGGTAATGTCACGTGTTCAAGTGATGTCAGAAGATCTTTGATTTCATTGGTGAGACAAATATTTATTAATAAAAAACAGGAACTGCAGCTACTGCAATGTATTTTTTTATCATTGATTAATGAGTTTGGCAATTTACACTTGAGGCTGATTCTTAAGATTTATTCTGTTGAGATTTTGAAAAAATTTGTTTGTGAAGCAATGTCTAAAAAACAATAATTTGATGGAATGCTGAAGATAAATGATTTTTTTTAACATACTTTGTCCATGGAATGCCTTGGGGTATATCCAGTATATATATATATATATATATATATATAAACTGTTCCGTTTTAATTTTAATTTTAAATTGTTTTGCATTATATGGCCATTTGCTGTATGGGTTTTTTCCATTTGCCTTTCAAACTTATAATATTATTAAAGAATCTCTATTGAGATCCAGCGCCGCCATTGATGCACGGTAGAGATTGCATCTTTAGATCTCCGATCTTGTTCACAAATTCACGGACTAGTGCTGTCTCGTAAGAATTTCGTAGGACGCGTTAAGAATGACAAAATATTCTCTGTATCTACTGGAACTGAGCCACATAGTGTATTCCACTATTTGCATTCACACCTGGGCTGTGTATATATATTGCCTTGGTTTGGCTCTGTAATCATTAGTGGTCGTGGGACTAGTTTGGGTCCTACCTAAGCTGGTCGAACGTTTCGTTTGGATCCATACCCTAGCTGCACTGATGAGGCCTGGAAGGCCGAAATGGATCCGTCTGCAGATATTGGGATTCCTTCCAGTGGATGCTTAGTTTATTTTGTCATTCTGATCGGATTTTCTCTACTGTTCCGTTTTAATTTTAATTTTCACGTTATAATGTTCACGGTTATCACTGTTTATTTGTACATATATCATTAATCTTTTATAGACGTATGCCGACTTGCTTTGACTTAATTACCGTATTGTTTCTCAAATTGTATATTGCCAAGATGCTTTCTCAATATGTTAATTTTATGTCAAGTGTTGACAAAGACTACAGGAGTAGCCGAAACATTTGCCAAATAAATTTTAGTGTTTCTAAAGTCAACATCTTACGTATTTGAGTTTCTTTACTGTTA